AGCCGCACGATCTAAAGAAGGCTTGGAAGGTCAGTGTCTTAACAGCTGTGATCAAGCATATGTCTCCTGACATCGAGAAGATCCGCAGACTTGTTAGGCAGTCCAAATGCCTCCAAGATAAGATGACTGCCAAGGAGAGCGCAACGTGGCTTGCTGTTGTTAAGCAGGAAGAGGACATGTATACGAAGCTGCATCCAGATGCATGCCCACCCCCGTCCTCTGGGAGTGGTGTCACTGGAACCTTCTCCTTCAACAGCAACAGCAGTGAGTATGACGTTGAAGGTGTTGGTGTCGACGAAGGCAAAAGTGAGGATGTGGATTATAAGCTGGCCGCGGACAGTGATGCTTTCAAGTTAGTTGCTAGTGCAGGGAATGGCAAGTTAGTTAGATCTTTTCCAATGAAGGAAGAGATAGATGTGGAGTTCGTTCAAAAGAGAACTGCTGCGGAGGCTGAACTGGTGATGAACCAGCGGGTCTATACCTGTGATAATGTGGTGTGCCCACACAACAATGTCCGCCATGGATTTCTGGATAGGAATGCCAGGAACAGTCACCAATACTTCTGTAAGTATCAGACTACTCATCCTCCAGGTATTGGGATGACCAACAACAGCTTCCAGGTGACTGAGAACAAGCCTTTGGTTTTCCCTTTGCCATTGAATTGCCAGCCAAATCCTTCTTCAATTGGGTCAAGTCTTAATCCAGTTAATATATCCGACTTGGATATTCCATCTGATGGTCAAAAATCAATCGATGAGTTAATGAACTTCTATGACAACAACATTGATGGTAGCAAGAACATGAACTTGGGAGGTGCGACCATGTTGGAAGAAGTTGGTGACCTCTTTGAAGAAGTTGGCAGCTTAGTCGAGCAATCACAGTACGGGCAGGAAAGCATGGTGCCATTTGAGCAAGAGCTTACCGACCAGCCTATTGAAGTGAGTGGGGACTTCAGGATAGGGTCTGGCTTTGACATGCCTGGAATGGATTACACCGATGCTATGCATGAGAGGATAGAGGATTCACAGAAGCAAGACAGGTTCAATTGGTTCTACTGAGGAACAGATAGGGTCTGGAATCATGTGTCAAGATGATGAGATCATCTCAGCAGTGGTGTAAGAGATCTTTAAATTAAGTTGACCTCCCTGTATCTAGTTAGTTGCAATCTTCCTTTTCTTATATCATGTCCAGGACAAATATTAGTATGTAGATTGTGCTCCCTAGGAGTTCTTGTGAGATGCTCCAGCCAAGCATTCCATGAGATTTGGTTAGGACTTGGAAGTATGAAGTGTGGGGTTTGTGTAGGTTGTGGTTGCTGATGGATGGATGTTTTGAGCTAATCTGTTTAATAGAAATCTGCTGTTTAGACTTTATGTTTTGCTTTGTTCAGATATCTGCCTCTTAATTAGTTTGTCTCTTAGCTTTGGATTTCTACAGAGTTGCTTTGAGGATTTGGATACTTTTTACTACAGACAGTGAATGAACTTTGGTTTCATTGAGGTCAAAATAATGCAATGAAAGAGTCAAATGCGATAGATTATCGGCTTTGCCTTTGTTAGTTCTTTCATTCACTTATCAACCTTTATGGTTTCTTTGTTCAAGATTGTTGCTTATGTAAGTAACATCAGCAAATTCCCATTTGGCTTCTAAAACTTGGCAGCTTCTTGTGTGTTGATGCAGTGATCTCCATCCTCCATGCTTAGAAAATTTCTTTTTCCATGATGTTCAGCAATGTTCATGATATGGTTCAACTTCTTGCCAACCAGTGTTATATTACCTGAAGTTTTGCAAGGATAAGATAGGGAGAGATCAAATGCTAAACCTACCAAGTCTTGTCAACCATCATCTTGGGGTTGCTGTTTCTTGGTCACAGGTACCTGACACACCTTTTGTGAGTGCTGTCCATCTCATTCCACTTCTCCACTTGTGACTCTTCACATGCTTGCATCTGAGAGCCACAAAGAGTAATGACTGAATCCACAGCATTTCACATGGCCTCATCAAATTCTGATATATAGCCAGGAACATTGTACAGATGGCTAGTAGTCTTAAAGAGGCACATTCTGGTGATGTTGATGAGGAACCTCCACTAACATCCAAGGCAGTTCTTATGGTTCTCCAGTCTAGGAGTCCAAAACATAGGTTACACAAGGCTGATGAACTTAAAAATGGCTATTGATGAGATTATTATGCTTCGAGGAGAACATTAATTGGGATGTCTCTGTCCTATGGGAGTGTAGGGAAGAAGATGCCCTTTGGGTGTTCAGCAATGACTTGACTTGATTGGGGTCTCTGCTGTGGTCCATGGTGAGTTTATAAGTCCCCTTGGCTGTATCAGAAGGGGAGAGGGTAAGATGTAACTCTTGGACTTGGTTAAATCTGGACCTGCTTGAATCAGTGAAGTTATCAGATTGGTGATGCTCTGAGTCTGAACCATGTTACTATGTTCTTCATACTCGACTGCTGAATGATGATCGTGAGATTGCATGCTTATATGATCAAGAGATTGGAGATAAATCCTGTCAGAAAATCCCTCAACAAGAAGCACAAGATGACATTTTTTGTTGGTAATTTGCTTGTACAGGCACCACTGAGGATCTTTAGCCATGTTGAGATAAGTGGGGAAAAAGATCTCCATGCAAACCTTCATCAAGACAAAAAGAGTAGTTCCTCGAAGGAAAATATTGGTGTGGATGGCAAACTTGTTGTCTCCACCAGCTTCCTGTAGTAGTCCAACAATAATGGCAGTTTCACCACTTCCTCCTTATCTGTGGGTGTCCCAATTATTGGTGTTGCAGTTGTAAGTCCTTTTCTGCTTTCCTGGACCTAATGATCTGTCAACGTTGGTTCAGGTCATGAGAACTTGGACTTCATTCATGGTGCAGTGCAACACTTAGTTGTCTGCAAATGCTTTGAAGCACTTTCCTTCTTGTCAACAAGTTTGGTGAAGAAATCATTCAGCACCGGTGAATAGGTTTGTTTCAACTAATGTCTCATTTCTGAAGCATATTTCTGTGCTTGACACCATAAACTTCACAATTAATTGCAGGCTTGGAAGCCGAGGAGTGTGGATTGCGTTTTGTAAGCTGAAGCTTCATCTTCAGCTTCATCTTCATCTTCATCTTCGGATAGCTGAGTTCCGGAAGAGCGTTGAACATTCCATCAGATGCAGTGCAGCAGCCTCTTTTGACCAAATCAATTTATTTGCAAGAGGTCATTCTCTCGTACACTCGTTTTTGTCTCCAACCGTGTGATTGAGGCTCTCTGCCTAAAACCACACGTACCTGTATGAACAGCTAATGGTTGTCTTTTTGTCCTGATTCTTTTATTCTACTCTCTTTCTCTGTCTCTCTCTAAAGAAATATTTTCCATGGCACCATCGAGTTTGGTGGTCCTGTCGAAGACCAGTGCAAGAAATGAATGCCATGTTAGGATTTTTTTTTCTTCATAGAATTATAATATCTTTTTTACATAAAGAGTCAAATAAATAGATATCATATTATTAATATATATATATAATATACACATTTATTATAATTTATTTACTTATCAAATATAAATCAAAAGTAGTCATGGATTTTATTAAAAAATAGAGTACTATGTGTTCAAAAATAACGTTCGATTGAATCTAAAGGAATGTTTGCTTTTGACTAAAATTTGATCTAGACTATTCTAAAAATTTTAAATAAAATAAAATTTGTTAATAACATTAAGTAATAATAGTCAATTATAAAATAAATATATGTACGAAAGTCACTCAAATATTAAATATCGGAAGAAGCACTCCCTTGATGAAGACAAATTCATATCATACTCTTAATAGTAAATGGACTGGTATCTCTTACCTACTAAAGTTGGGATATATTTCTTCGAATAACGGATAAAAGAATCATTTAGTCGTCATGTTTAACGGCTCACTAATCCCTCAAAAGAGTCGTTTTATTTGCTCTTGATAGGAAAACAATATCTTCTCATATTAATCATATTTATATCAGGATAAAATAATATATTGAAGCATCTTAATTTATTTTTTTTTAATATTATTAATATCAAATAACATCAATTATCCTTCAATTGAGTTGAACCATATCTTAATATATCCAATTGAACTTAATTTAACTAGAACTCAATTTAACTATAACCCAATTGAATCAATCACTAATTCTCATTTAACCAATCTGTAACCACCTTAGACTCATATAATTTAGATAATATTAGGTTTAATTTAGGCTAAACAAATTTAAATAAGTTAAACCGATTCAAAATTATCTTCAATCGATCTAAACAGATCAAATCTGATTTGATTCAATTAATATTTAGACCAAAATCAAAAAAGGATGGGTAATATGCTAGATTGCATAACATGAATTGGTAAGACTAAGGTTGGGTTAAGTTAGCCCTAACCTACTGGTTGAGTCTTGCTTGGGTTTAGTTTGTGGGCTATTACCTAGCCTAACGGTTGAGCCTGATTTAATGACTGATTTCAACCTAAATTTTAATCAATTTCTTTAATTTCAAAATATGGTATTATGAAATTATAATCAAAATATTTATTCATTAATATTGAGTCAATAAAACATAATAAATGATAACAGATAAATTTGCATAAGGAGAAAATATCAAATATTGTATAAATCTAAGAGAAATCAAATGTTATGTATTGACAAAATAAAAATTTTAGAAATTGTATACGATATGAATAATCATGTTTTAATCCTAAAATAAAATTCTAAACTTTTAAAGGGAAAAAAAATTTAGAAACTTCATATAACATGAACAATTATAATAATATTTTAATCGAATAATAAAATTTTAAATATTTAAAGAAATCAAAGAAAAAAATTTTATTTTTCAAAAAAGACAAAGTAACTTGTTTGATGAGGAACGAAGAGGAATAATCCTCCCCTTAAATAGGAAGGAGTGAGATAATTTTTATATATTTTATATTTATTTAATCTTTATTTTTATTTAATTTACTAACAAAAATGATATTATCCTGCTTGGAACATTGAATAATTATTTTTCAAATTTTACTAAAAAATAAAAAATCATGTCTAAATTGAAGATTTGATTACATGCTGACTTGAAGGGGTTGATCAATTTTACTTCTTTCCTCTTCCGTGAAGATTGTGTTTCCAACTGATCACATCTTGCAGTGGACTTTAAACCACACCCTCTCAGCATCACCTGATTCAGCTCCACAGAGAGAGAAAAAGACTGGACCTTGGATCTCTTCTCTAATCTCCTGCAGCTTTTCAAGAATGAAGATAAATCTTTATTAGAAACCACAGCAATAAAATTCACATTTGCACTAGCAAAATTTCTTCCATTCCTTTCTCTTGGACTTACCCATATAATAATGGTTCACATCCCTGTTCTTTCTTCCCATTTGGCATCATACTTTACCCAGAGCCTAAAAAGACAGTCCAAAATATTTTATCTGCATAATTTTCTATATCCAGTTAACCAGAATGATAAAGATTAATCTAATGTTCACAAAGCTGTTAGGACATCATGACATGAAATATGGAACCTTTTGACTACTTCAAAATGTCATTCAGTAAGTAGTTTCCTTGATGATGAAAATTACATCCTCAACAATGAGAACACCTGTAATTTACACCCCAAGATGCAATAGAACGGAACAAGATACAAAAAAAAAAAAAAAGAAGAAAGAATTTGATGAGGAGAGTTTCAAGAGACTGACTAGCCTTGGTTGTTGATGTCCAGAATGATAGACTGCACCACTAATTTTCACCATTTCTTTATAAATTCGACTTTCATGAAACTGTACTTTTGATTTCTGCAGCCAAGAACTTTGATATTTGTGCTTCAAAAATAGGTGTTTTATACAATATGAAGTGGTTTGTAATTTTTAATGGAACCAGTGAAACAATAAGAGAACAAAGTAGAAGAAGACATGCAAGGAATGTCAACCATGCCCTCCAGGAACAAAGGCTAACAAATGGTCAAACTGCATGGAACTCCTCCTGTTAAGGCACTGGCTCTTCCAAATCTTCTTCTTCCTCTTTGTCCATGATCTCTTACCATACCACACTTTGCAAGTGGCAAGCCACTGTCCTGTTTCTTCTCTCCTTATTTAAAATCATGAGAAACCAGCGTCATATGGTGTATGCATCAGGCAGAAGGTCTCAAGTGGCAAGCCACTGCCCTGTTTCTTGCTCAAGCTTCTTAAGAAAAATATACTACATTCGTCGAAATGATGCCAGACTATAAGGAACACTATAGAATATCAAGTTCTTTGTTTTATTTGGTTAGTGCTACTGCCTAGTTATGTTCTTTCTTTAGTTCTTCTGAGTCTTGGAGATGCATGGAAATCATGGCAAAGCTGTTGACTCAGAATCAAATCCTGACTTCACCTTAAATCACTCTCTTAACCAAATTCTTAGGGGTAGTATCCTAAGTTCAAGGACAGAAAAAACATCATGTAGTCAGTCCCATATTGTTGGGATACTGCTGGTTCTATACTTCAAACAGAATCTATGTAAAACCTAAGTTCATCAAGTGTAGTGTTAAAAAAAAATATATCTTGATTCAACAATCAATTCCCACTTATTGTATGCTAGTTTACCTCTTACAAAGTTTAGAATTGCGGATCTCTAAGACCTCCTAATCTATGACATCAACAACCAAGGCTAGTCAGTCTCATGACATGAAATATGGAACCTTTTGACTACTTCAAAATGTCATTCAGTTCTGTTAACATCCATAGACCAGACCACTGAGATAAATGATACTCTTCCTTGACATCCAAAACAAATGAAGTCTGAGGTCTTTTAGGTCAACTGGAAGATAGGATGCCAAATTTTCGTAGAGAGAAATGCAAACCAAGTATATAGTCGATTACTTCCATTGCAGTTTATGTCATTTTTAGAAGAACATTCTGATATCTTAACATCGATGTTTGATCAAATGTTGTCTCATGCCAAACCATATACAGCGAAAACAGGGGAAAAGTCTCCTTTAAGAGATGAATCACATAAGTTAAATAGATGCATACAAGTCATCAAAATGCATGAATGCCCTGTAAAACCATCAAGCTGAATTTATCAAAACCATGTCAGTTTTCCAAAGTGCCTCCAGAGTTTTCTCTATGGTTCATTAAGAGTTTTGACATTGCCAAATCATAAACATCAGCCTCAATAGCATAAAGAAAAAGAAAGGAAAGAAATGACAAACTCAGCATCGACATCAAATAAACATCTAAAAGGCCAAATTCCCAGTTGAAACCCAATATCAGACACTGATTATGCATAAAAGATGAGTTCTTTACCTCAATCCCATCTCATGCACTTCAGATTTCTGAACAACAGTAAAAGGCACCAGGAGCAACCAGTACTGTCAACTACACGACGAGGAAACAGAATTCCAATAAAAGGGAAAGGAGAACCGGCAAGGACGCCACAGCGGGAATAAGAGGAGGAGGGGGAGGAAAACTGAAAAAGGAGAGACCTTGTTGTCGAGCATGACAGCGAAGAGGATGCCGGCGTTCTCCATAGACGTTCGCAAGTCGTCCAGGGTCTCGAGGTCTTCCCCTCCCTCAGGAACGGGCCCAATGTGCAATCGATCTTCATCTTCGCGCCTCCAGAGCTCCCAACGATCGAAGCCCTACAATCGAGAAGGAGAAGAGGAGGGACGCGGAAGAACAGAAAGCGAAGGAATCGATCGGGGAATGCAGAGACGACGAGCACGTAGGAAGCCGACGGCGAGCGGCGAAAACATCAAGATGTTGCGGGTTGTGACTTCTCTCTCTCTCTCCATATAAATATAAATATAAATTATATATATATATATATATATAGGCTGATCGAGAGGTCCGAGAAAAGATACTTGTACGACCCTACTCCCATAGCTACCTGCATCGTGATTTGGGAAGAAGAAGCAGACCCGCTGCGGGTCCCATTCCATTTGCCCAAGGACGGATCAGGTAGGCTACTGAGTAGAGAATGGGTGAGAGAATTTCTATTTTTTCTGATTTGTGAACTTTTGGACACTGAAAATAAAAAATAATTATTAATATATTTTTATCTTAATTTTACATATATAGCTATACAAACACATATACATACACACAACAACATAGGATCTTTAATTATAATTTCATATTTATATATTTATATTTATATTGGAGTGTCTTAAACACTTAACTGCATGACTGCCAAAGCATCATTCAAATGAAGTAGCTATGAATTTAATTGCACATCAATGGCAGATTATTTCACCTTTCTTCCAGAGGGGGGACACTTCATCATGAATAAAACATGTTTCTTCCAAAAGTAAATTGATGGATGTCATGTAACTTGTGATGCACTCATGGCATATGTTGTTAGGAATCAAGGGAAAAGGAATTTTTGAAGTCATATGGGGGACTCTCTTTCCCACACAATTCCCTCACTCAGTTCTTCACCATTCCAGTCTGAATTCTTTTAAGTGATTTGTCTGAAATGGTACACCTTTTTGAACCCATAACCTAACAAAAGGCATATCTCATTCTAATAAAGTTCATATTCCAGGAATATGTTAATCACATAGTGGAAGACACAATTAGTGGAGGAATGAAAGAAAGTGATGAGTCATGAGCAAAGGAGATGCATTGTGTAGGAACAAAGGAATCCACTTCCAAGAACATTGTTCTTATTGCTCCTAGTTAGCCAGGTGCCACAACTTGACTGGAGGCCTAAAATAAATTAAGCAGATTAAAGTTCTAAAGTATTTAATATTCTTCAAGCACAATGGAACCAGAACATGGGTGATAGAGAATGGGGACTGGGAGCAATACCTGTGCAAGCTCTGGTCTGAGGTGGAAGAAAAGAATATTTACTACAGCCATTATGGGAAAAAGCTGATCCCAAAGGTATAATTGATCATTGAATCAAAGGCAAATCTGTTCATGAACCCACTTAATAGATTTGTTGGATGCTACAAAATCATGGATTACCATTTTCCTTAGTAACACTGTTAAACAAGTTACAATAACAACATGCATCTCTCAAGATCAGGTAAACTAATTTACCAGAGGCTGATTGCAGGAAACTTTTGGCCACAGCAGTCCCTCCTGTGAGAAAATAGAAGTTGGTGCAGGAGCTGTAATAAGTAAGTCTTGAGCATCCTTGTACCTTATGAAATTGAAACAAGAACAATATAATCGCACCAAGAAAACTGAGGAATAATAAGAGATTGTCATGCAAAGCCACATTCACAGATCAACCAAATTAATATATGTTGACTCTCTTTCTCAGTCTGCTTCACTTTACCTAGTCTAGGTTTGTCCAAGACGATCTATCATCAACTCATTCTTTTATGATCAGTTGAAGTGATCAAACTAGAAGAACAAATTCTGCATACAATATCTTGCATAAGCAAGATCTTGCTGAAACCATTTGACTAATCGATATTTTAGCCTTCTATCATGTTTGGCTCACTCTTAAAGAATAGTGGTGTGATTTTAGTCCTTGTAACTCGCCCGAGTTCAATATCATGGGTCAAGTTTCAAGAACTCATATAGTCAGATTAAGTTTGTATCTAGTTTACTCTCAGTTTCAATCAGTGGAGTGAGGCCAGACTTGACACTAAAAGCTGTACAAGTTAACTTGGTCAAGTTGTGAGTCAACTCCGATGATTTGAACTATGATTTTAAGCAATCCAATCAAATATTGGCCAACAGATGATGTACCAGTAGTCCAGAGAACATATTTCCTGTCAATATCCACATATGAAGAGTCAGTTGTATTATTGCTTATTTACCACTCAAGTTTTTTTATTCTTATGATTTGGAAGGTGGTTCCACAATGTGCTATGCAGAATGAAGAACATTTGAACATGTTGATGTACCGATCAAATGAACAAATGTACTGCAAACAATATATTCTCCCACAATCATAAAGTCGCAATCTAATGATGGTAGACCATATTTTGTGCCCAATCTAATCCTCATGCTAATGGAATAATATCGTTCGATAGCTAAAAAAATTCTGGATGTGACAAGGATCTTTATATCTTAGTTGAACAAATGGAGAAGAATATCACTGTATTTAAGATTCCTATCTTATTAATTAAGTCTGTCTATAAGCTGCAGGAAATCTCTATCACCACAATAAATTACAAACAGAAGAAGCATGGTAACATTATCAGATTTTCTGGGAAAAATATGTTTTAGAATATCTAGTTATAGAGTGAAAGAATGTTAAAGCCATATTGGTCATAGCCTCAAAACAAAACCAAATACTCCATAAACTTATTGTGATAGCATGAACTAATCTCCAACATGGTACACTAAAGAAAAAACTCCATATCCATCTCGAGGCATGAGCTGACCAGATCTTTAATGGCAACCAGTTTCTTGTTAGACATCAGTTGCCATGCATAAACCTAGAAAATATTTGTCAATACAAGTTGATGATTAATTCCCACAAAAGCAGCATTTATAGGATAGTTCAATGCTTTGGAGTTTGTAGCCTAGAGAAGGAATACCTAAGGTGCTAAAGAAAGATTGGAAGTGAACTACTACTCATGATAAAAGACCTTGCTTTGTGGTCTTGATCTTGATCCTTACTCTTCGTTGATCCAAGGAACAGGTTCTGTAGGCATAGAACATGAGTATTTATGCCTGTATTTGCATTAATATTTGCAATAGGTGCAAATCACATACACATACAAATTAACATGAACATATGTGCGCGGATGCAAGGCTTACATCATACTACAAGCTGACAGAGAAATATCAAGTGGTGGAGGGAAATCAAGTGACCCAGGTGTTAATGAAGATTTTGTGTGAAATGAAATTAAATACCCAAATTTCCTATATGTTCTGTTCTCTTTCCCTAAGGTCTTAGACCAACAATTGCTTCAGTGTGATGACTGTCGACCGATGAATAGCTTCCAGATTCCTATCTTCCTTTTCTTTCTGGATAACTGAATAAGTACCAAACTTAGTGGAGGAGAAAAAAGGGAATTGAATCCTTATTCTATGTTCCATTCCTTGCTTTCAAATGGTACATGGAGCATCATGTAGGGTTTTCTGTTCTTTGTAGAACAGAGGCATCTAGTTCTGCTTCTGGATGCAACTGGTCAAACAGAATTTTCAACCTTCTCCTACCAAATTAATAGAAGTTCTCTCCTACTGTAACTGATAAAAATTCCTCAATCAACTTTATGAACTATGTATCTATACCAATTGCAATATATTGTATAGTTCTAGACTTCCATGAGAACCAAAATATCGTAAACCAACCACTTAAGATGTCCCTTCAGATGAGGCTTCCATGTGTAAGGGACTGCCTGATTAAGCTACTACAACTAAATCAGGAACAGAAAAAAAAGAATTGCTAGTTATCAAGATATTAGAAGTGTTAACTTTGGGTAAGAAAATTCTACTTGAGTATAAGGTTCCTGCTTTTTCTTACAGTGACTTTTGTATTAAAAGATACATATTTGTGGAATTATTCCTTTGGATGTGTGACAAGCTAACGCTGTCCCACAAAAGTTGCTAATGCATAATACAAATGGAAGCTCTAGCCTGTGAGAATCAACAACAAAAGTTCCAAGACAAAGTCCTCAGCTACTTAAAGCAGCATAGACAATCATTTTTGAAGCTGTGAAGTTTAGATCTATGGCTGAGTCTTTGGTTCAAACAACTCCAAATTCCCTTTCCACTTGCCTCATAAGGAGCGGTTTGGAGTCATTCCTCATCACTTGAGGAGTTGAAGCAACTCAAGTTCCTTAGCAAGAGCAGCATACATACCGTGCATGTCTCAGCTTTCAGGAAATATTGCATTGATAGTATAGAAGCAAACCAGTTTGTTAGACGTGAAAGCAAGGTGAGGGCAAAAAGGTTAGAGAGAAAAAAAATATGAAAACTTGATAAGAAGATTTTTTTTCTGTCTGGTTTGTGATGTTCTCTTCTAATTTAATTTGTTTATAATTTTTTGTTTTTGAATCAGATGTTTCAGCATCAACCTCATCAAGGCCACAATAACCTCCTTTCTCCTAGGACGACATTTCCTTCAGAAAGGCAATTGTTTCTGCAAAGAGGAAATACTACAGGAGAGCCAGGACTGGTTCTTTCAACTGATGCCAAGCCTAGACTTAAATGGAACCCTGAGCTCCATGAGAGATTTGTGGAGGCGGTGAATCAACTTGGTGGAGCAGACAGTGAGTATACAAAGTTACATATATGTCTGTTATGTGCAGAATGTGCATGTTTAATGTAAGGTCATAAGCTTGCAGAGGCTACTCCAAAAACAATCATGAGACTCATGGGCATTCCAGGATTAACTTTGTACCACCTAAAAAGTCATCTTCAGGTCCTAATTCACTTCTCAATTCCCTTCCCCCCACCCCCTTTCCCACTCTCTCTCTCTCTCTCTGGCTGTTGCCACTGCATTTAGAACTAATTTGCTATTATCGGGCTGTTAGAAATACAGGCTTGGTAAAAACCTCCTGGCTCAAACAAATACCGGAAGTACCAAGAATGGTAAGGCCAGCTCGTAGAGTCTATATTTAAAATCTCAAACTAGATAATGTGGTAAAAACAGTTTGTTTTACCTGCAGTTATTGGATGTACACTAGCAGCAGAGAAAACATCAGAGGGCAATGGATCATCAATGAACATCGCAGCCCCGACAAATAAGTAAGAAAACAGCAAATGCACTTTAGTTATTTAAAGCTGTACTGACCTCTGACTAATGGTACATTAGTTTCAGAACCATGCAGATTAATGAAGCACTCCAAATGCAAATTGAAGTACAAA